TCAGTAACAGCTTAAATAGTGTAGCTGGGTAAAGAGTAAGGCTGCAGGCACTGGGTAAGGTTTAAAGTCTAAGGAATTTGGTCTGCTTGAAGGTGCTGTTTGCCCTGACATTCCTTCCTCACCAGCTGCACTTTCCAAGGATTTACTGCAGGCCCTGCCATCTCAGGCTGTCTCACAGCAACTGCAGTTTTTCTGCCAGGAAACTTTTTGGCTACTCAAACACACCAAGACCAGTATTTTATGACTTGTCTGGATCCAGCATGATCTGGATAGAGGACCTGCACAGCCCTGTGGATACTCCTCTCTGACTATGGAGCTTGGGCAATTCAATAGGAAGTGCTAAGGCCATGTATAGCTTTTAGACTGCCTTTGTCCACCCTTGTTCTATAAATCTTTATCACAAACATTTGAATTCTGAATAAAATATTTTGTTCAACTGCTTTTTTACCTATTTTCTATCCCCTTCACAGATTTTTAGTCACACAGGACTCTGGGAGTGCAGGTCATCCCATGCTGAGAAGGTGAGAAGCCTCTTCTTATTAGACAGACTCATGTCTGGCCAACCTCATTGTTTGCTTTATAATCAAATTGTCTCTTAGGTATTTGTACCACTCCTGTGCTTTTGATTCATTGCACCAGATCTGAGCTAGGAACATATAAAAGTCTATTTTTATTTTTATTTTTATTTTTATTTTTATTTTTATTTTTATTTTTATTTTTATTTTTATTTTTATTTTTATTTTTATTTTTTTTAGGTACTGCCCTCTCCTGTCAACATAAGCTCTCCACAAATTTCCTCCAATTGTGTGTCTGCGTGAGGTCATGAAAGACTTTATGCCTTAGAACCTTATGACCTTCCTCCCACCACAACCTGCCATTTTCTGATGTGATCACCACCCCAGCAACATTTCAGTTGCTTCTGTCTTCCAGTTTTTGCTTCTGCAGAACACAGGGATGTAACTACAGCTCAGACCCCCTGAGCAACACAGACACCAACCATGAGAATTGCGTGTCAGAAATCAGATTTGTAAAGGATGTAGCAGATGAACCGATTTGAGCAAAGGCAGTCATGCACATAAGGGAGAGACATGAAAATGCCTCTTGAAAAGGGAGAGGCATGTTCAAATCCAGATAGAACCCTTTTTTTTTTTTTTTTTTTTTTTTAATTCAAATGTTACCCATGAGTATATCAATCTCTCCAGGCAAATTGACTTCAGAAGAACTTAAATGGTTAGTCAATATCTAGTGGTGATTAATCATGGTACCATCAGTTCTAAATGTAAAATTTCCCCTCACATGGTCTTGATTGTGAATCCAAGTCAAGGCTTATTGCTATTCGGAGGTTTAGGATTGATAATACTCACTACACAACTAAACATTTTAAACTTTTTTTYTCTGTAATTCTTTTCATGACGGCTTTATCAAAGCACCTTCTTTGGCTAAGGACAATTCCAGGCTTTCCATTGATTTAGTTGCTCTCAGGGTATCTCACACAGGATCATCAAACTTAAAAGACACTGGAACTAAAACAGAAGCCAACCTTCCTCTTCAAGAGGCACTGCACAGTCATAAACTTACAGATAAAAGAACACAATGGACAAAATCCTCTTCTTGTATTAGCTGAAAAAAACTCTCAGTGTGTTAAACAAATGAGCTTGCCAATTCGTATGTCTCTTTAGAGAAGAGAGAAAAAAGAGGAAACATTTAGGCATGATAAATAGGGACTAGAAAGAGAAAATGCACTGGTTTCTGTAAATCCAGTACTGTAAATKGTGTCACACTGAGTGCCTGGGAGACAAGCTTCAGTGCTTATCTCCTCCATATATTGATATTTTACTGATCTGATAGCTTACAGCTACCAGGAAAAGTGTGAATTCTGTAAAAAATTTCTGGTGAGAGATCTCTGGCTAATTTAGGTATCTGATATTTTGTCAGATCCAGGTCCAGGCCATTGCCCAAGGTCTCTCACTCAAGTCCAGGTTTCTAAAACATCCATGATATATAGGCAGAAGGCAATATCCAGGCTTAGGATAGTTAAGGGCAAGCTAGAGCACAAGTTTGAGTCTTCTTCCAAAAGTGGGCCCAGACTCTCTAGCATTTGTAGCTTACGCTGGATGACCCATGTATGTAACTCAGTTACAGTTTTGTAATTCAGTTGCTGCTGCAAACTTATATAGATTAGATGACATCAATTGAACATGTCAACTAATAAACATAAGATCTTCATCAGAAGATATACACTATACCATTATGACCATGCCATAGGGATATAGGCAGCCAATGCTCTGATTTAGTCTGTGTGTTGTGTCTGGGTTATTAAATCTTGTGTTGTGTGCAGTATTTTGCTCCCAATGGTCTGTCACAGGTAGGCCCGAGAGTAGACTTGACCAGCAAAGTCGGAGCTAAAGGAGGATTTGCCTACTCAGTCTTTCTGTTTCCTTATCACTATGTCCTCACTGCTTTCTGCAGTCCTTACTATCAGCAGAAAGCATGTTCATTAGGGAAGCTCATATCAAAAGGGCATGGATAAATCAATAATTGGTGGGTCATTGAGGAGAATAACTTGGCCAGTCAAGAAAGACATAGTCAATTTAATATTGCCTGAACTATGCAATATATTAAAGCAATAACATTTGTACTCAGTATTCTTCCATGGCTAATATTCAAAGCAAGATGTATGTTTTCATGGTAGAAGAAAAGTTGTAAAATAAGGGTTTTTTTCCCCTCTTATGATCCAGACTAGGTTCATAAATAGACAGTGTCTTTGATGAATAAACAGTAGGTAAGTAACAATGCAGAAAGCTCCAGGGACATAAAATTCTTTCCCATCTGTTCTTTAGTGATTAGGCATGAGAGATCCCAGGCAGGACAGCAGCGCTGTGGAAATGTTTCATTTCAGAGCAGAGCGCCAAGACAATATTAATGATGATTATGTTTCAGTGTACAAATACTCTCATTCCTGTCCATAATGATGAAGCACCAGGCAGGCAGTGGAAAACTCACCTAATGTTAATCACATGGTGGTTTTCTGTTAGCAGTAAGGAAAATGTTCTTGTTTCTGGGCAAAGAAAGGCAATGCAGACAGGGGACCAGACTCTACTTTTACCTGCTTCCTGACAGTCTCAGAATTGCAACATCTTCAGTTAAAACTACATTCTAAGCTGATAATAGACAATAGGACGGCTCAGCAGTAGTGTATGGCTTTCCTGGGCACAACATGGAGGAGGTTGAAGAAGGTGCTTGTGATGTCTAGTGTAAATATTAGGTGTTTAATAATGACACATCTGAGAATCTCATCTCTCAACAATATTGTTTTCACAAATATATATATATATATATATATATATATATATATCTGCATCCCTACTGGGAAAAAGGAAATGACAATTTATTCAAGGCTTCAGTTTTGAGTTTCTCATCTATTTATTGATATATTTGTTTCATGTCTTCATTAAATTACTTAATGAAAATCATATCTGTCTGGAAAATAATAGCTAGATTTTGTTTGAATACGGAAAACTCACTCTGTTCGCTTGTAATATATTAAGCCTTCATAATTATCTTCCTTCATTATAGGCAACATTAAATACTATACTATATCAATAATCTATGCACTAATTTATTGCATTGTATACCAGAACGTGCTGCTTTCAATAATTTCTGCTTCTCATCCAGATTTTTGATGACTGTTAGCACAAACTTGCTTTAGAAATCAAGAGATTTAAAGAAACACAGAGAAACCAGCTTCTCAATAGCAATTGATAAAAACAGCTTTACAAAAAATTGGTAGCATATAGTGCTGCAGATGAAAGGCAAACCAAACAGTAGTGCAGTAACATAATGTTTTTAATAGGGGAAATGTAAGATAAATGTAAGAAAAGACTTTTACAGATTAGGTGTTTTATGATGAGAATAAATCTCCCAAAGAAAGTAAGGAATCATCACCTATGTTTTTTTGCTCCTTGAATGAACAGAATTTTCATTAGGTTATTGCATGRTACTACTAGAGATATCTTTACAAGGTGCTCTCTATTCCCTGTCTGCTATGTCTATTCATCAGTGAACATATGTTTCTCATTGATTGCAGTAGGAATTACGTAAATTGCTTGAAGTCAAAATTTCCACCCTTGTGTAACCTATTTTTCCAACATTGTACTGAGCTGCTAAAACATAGGCAAACCTCAATGTAACCACATATATATATATATAATGTGTAATATTTGTAATTACTATGAGAAAATTGTGTTCTATTGATTACTTCAGGAGAGAGAAATGACAATGACATCTTAGTGAACCATGTAGTAATGTGATGAGAAAGGCCCGTCTTTAAAAATATTGTTATTAATAAGCTGTCCTCAATATTATCTTGCAGAAGCTAATTAAAACAGGAGTCATATTATATTTTTGACAATTTTTATTAATGATTATATTAATATTTCTTAATTTTGTTACCTTTCTGTCCTCTTCAGAGATCATAATGGAACAACTGAATGTATTTGGAGCATAGGGTCTGCCATTTACTGATGCACTGGTTAACAATTTGTACTATTATTTCCACAGCAGTGAAGTTGAATTAAGGATTTTGTTATTATCTGGAAGGAACACCCACATATAGAAAAGATGTTCAAAGGAAGACGCACAATCAGAAAAACAATTTCACTGTAAGTCTGTCAATTTTTACCAATAGAAAAAATAGAAAAAGTCAATGGAAATAGAAGAAACTCTGAATGTGAAACTATACAGGAAATTATGTTGATGAGCATATCTCATTTGAAAATGTTTTCTCTATGTTTAGATGCCTTTGAGCTCAGTAGCATTCTTGTTTGCCATGTAAGCACAACAGAGCAGACTGCTTTGCTTGTGTTAATAAGGACTATAATATTTTCTGCCTAAAATTAGAGATAAAAAAAGATGATATTCTATCATTTATGCTAYATTATGACCCAAAAGACGTGTGTTATTCAGATATGACACTTCTTGGGTACTCACAGAAGACTCACCTCTGTAAAGCTGTCAGAGAGGTTTCCGTATCGCTCCCAGGAGAAACAGGGCACTGCTGAAGTGTCACTCGAACCTGGCACAGTCYTCAGTTGCTGTGACAATCCCTTGAGAATGGCCTTCTCCTCAAACTTATGTTGGAGAACTCAGGGGCATAAAGACAGCTCAGGATYGTAAGGTCACAAAGAAGGCTTCAAATCAGTTTTGGATGCTCACACAGTGTTGTAACTAAATGCAACAGAAACTGTGTGCTCTGCAGCAGGAGTGCAGCTCAAGACCTGAATGTGCAATCTGCAAGAAAAGAATGAGAAGTATATAGTTTTATCAGCTCTAGCAAAAAATTGCCACTGGTATGGTGTATATTTGTGTGAGTTAACATTATCCACTAGCAATCTCTAGTCTCTCCCACTATAACTTGTACAGTGTTCAGAATGGTTGGATATAACTCATGAGAAGGTCATCAGTATATTTATGCRTAGATATATTTGTATAGGGGATGAAGAGGTTTTGAGCTCAAGCTCTCAGAATTAGCACCTACTTGCAGAGRTGGCAGTGCGTGATTGGCTCTGGTCTCTCACCCCCTATCCCTAAGGCTTTTAAGCAGTGTCAGATGGTCAGCCTAGGGCAGGACAAGCAATTGCAGGCTGCTCTCCAGCTTGGCTGGCATGTCCCTGAAACTAACGTGACATGCCATAGCTGAGACAGATTTCCTAAAGGAGAGGTGCTGAAGGTGAGCAGAGATCCTGGAGCACGCTGTGCCGGCAAAGGGAAGGGCTCAGAAGGGTGCTCCTACAAGCCCCACTTCGTGCTGTGGCTACACAGGAGCTCCAGAGGCCCCAGGTACTTTGGGAAAGCACTTCCTGYGGCCCATTGCTCTCATAATCCCCCAGCATCTTGAAATACTAGGCCATATATCTCAGGCCTTTTGCTGCCCTTTTGTGGGCCTGTTGCCCAGCAATTTGACTAAGCTCCATATGAACCTGCTGGCAGAGTTTATCTGCAGAGACTMCTGCGACAGCAAGTTCCAGAAATTCACAAGCTGCTGTAAAAATAAGGACTTTCTTTTATCTGCTTAAACTACCCTGCCAGTAGTCTAATAATCTGACCCCTAGTTCTAGTGTTACGGGATGTGAGGAATAATCATTTTTCTTTACCTTATTTGTGGGCTTCATGACTTTATAATTCCCAGTATTTGAATACACAGCAGGTACAATAAAGTCAGATTTTTATCTGCTCTATTTACAGAGCAGATAACGTTATGTGCAAGGGCTTACATTATGGTACAGCATGTAAAACCTCAAAATTTCAACGGATCCTAATTAACAGTGACAAATTTAAAAAAATGACTAARGAGTCATGGTAATTACTGATTTTTCACAAATTCTAATCCCTTCCTATAGAGAGGTTTCACTTTTGTGGAGAAGTTAGTGTTGACCAGATCTCATACACCTGAGCAAGCTACACAGACCTTTAGTTTTGTTGGTGTGACAGAGGCTTTTGGTATTCTCTTTCCTATGAACTGAATAAAAAGTAAACAAAAAGGAAAAGGAAGGAAGACTGGTAAAGACTTAAAATTATATGTTTGTGCTTATGATGAAACTGTATCTTTGATTATAGGTTTGGTTTTTTTCTCTGTGTGCCGGGTCAGGTCCTATACTATCAATACGTAAGTCATCATGGGGACTCATTCTTCATTTGYGTTGGAAATGCAAACTGAGAAGCAAAGAAAGCAGATTGAGAGGGTCAAATCTATCCYCTGGCAGTAAACCAAAGATAAATTTGGCCCCTGTGTACAAACAGAAGTAACTAAAAATGTACAAGTGTTACAGAGCCAGATAAAGCAGCAAATCAAGGAAGAACAGAGGGCATCAGCATAAGAGGTAATCAATATGTGTGGGAGGCTGGAAAGGATAAGCAACATCAATGTCAACAGAAAGTCAGGATGGAGGAAGCTCCCACAGAGGAAAGTAGCAAATTAAAAACATTCTGTTTCTCCCTGCATTCATCAGCAAAGGTTTTCTTTCTTTAATTATTTAATTGTTTAAGCTTGAATTGTGCACTTGGCCGCACTAGTGTGCAAAAGGAAAGCAAATGGGAAGATTTGGGATTTATTTTTTAGGCTGGAGAGATTTCTTCAGATCTTGCTTTGCAGTTTTGTATATGATCCACAGTCTGTGGCCTGATAAGAAGGCATTGTTAGAAGACATCTATAGTAGGAGCAATTCAGATGTGAGGTTTATGAGCTAGATTATTATACCCCAAAAGGTATTAGCAACTTGAAAATCAAGGGCATATTTCCTCCTGTTCCAGTATCAGCAGCCTCTGATAGATGAAAGTGGTCTGGGTTGACAGAATTTTGTAAACAACCATGATACACATAGGATCATGAGAGCCCAGACATGCACAGACAACATGCTCACTGCTGAAAGGACAATTTGGACTTGAATACACCATGATTACTTCAGGTCAGAAAAGTTATACTTATTCTATAGGTTGAGAGTGAAGTCTACTGTGTCATTTGGAAGTAAACAGGTCACCTTGTAAAGGAAGATTCACTGTGTAAAATGAGTATCTAGATTTGCCCAGTGTTCTGTGCAGTCCTTCCTACATATGCGATGAAGAAAATTTTGATATACACAAATTGTCAACCATGACTGTTTTCACTCCCCTAATTCAGAAGCTGCAATGCCTCTGTACAACATAATTCAGAGCAAATACAAAATTGAGTTTCGTTACTTTGCCTGATAGAAGTGTGGACTTAAACACATGCAGATCATGCCTCCTACCTCTGGCACTTCCAGTATACCCATTAAGCGAACATTAGGTAATCATTCCAACATTAACTGAATTTAATTTTGGTAATATAAATGTATAATTTAAACTACTTCACCTTTTAAATATACCTTATCTTTTAGCTGTACTATCTGATCATTGTGTTTTCTAGTGTGAACTAAGATGTTTTAGATCTTACTTGTATGGTTTTTTAATATCTTTCAACAAGCTTCAGTTCTTAGTGCTATGATATCCTACTACAGGCTATTTTTTAAGAGCTATATCCAAAATATATGATGGATTATACTTCCAGGTGCAGGATGCTGTASAGACTTTTGGTCCTCTGATTCCCCTAACCAGAGGATTTAAATGTGTTACACCCTCTGTTTCCCTTATGGCTGTCTTTTTTTTTTTCTTTTTTTTTTTTCCTTTCTTTTTTTTTTTTTTTCCCCTAACCAGAGGATTTAAATGTGTTACACCCTCTGTTTCCCTTATGGCTGTCTTTTTTTTTTTCTTTTTTTTTTTTCCTTTCTTTTTTTTTTTTT